TGCAAAATTGTATGTCAAATGACGTCAAGATTATCAATTACATTATTACATTACCAATTGGTTATTAATAAATGTTTAAACTTTTATATTTTACATTAAATGCATTTTGTACACAAAATTATCGTTTATATGACTGCACATCGCCAAACAAAAGCATAAACTCATAAAAAAAATCATAATGCAGAAAAGCCCTATGTTCTGTTCTTAAACAGACATAGGCCTCTAGTTTTAGCTCATTTGTTATTCACCATTTTCATGAACTGACGGTGGTGTAAAAAAAGGCATTTCAATTTTGAAATTGTTCAATCCCTTCTGGCATGCTTCCATAAGCAAAACCTAATTAACTTTTAAATTATATTCAAGGTGAAGTGGCAGACTTCTTCATAAATGCATTTTGCACTTTAATGAAGAGACACATACATGATCCCCCCTCCCCTCAAAAAAATTGTATTATAAGAAAATAGGTAAAACGATACATGTGTAATTTGCGTTTGCCAGAAAGGGACGGTCAACTTAACAAATTTTCAGCTGCACATATTTAAACATGCGCACCAGCCCCTACTATATGGCAAAACAGTAGCTCAAATATTTTAGTAAGTAAATTTGCATTTTGGTTTTTATACAAAGGGGTGGGCATCTTTACCACCCTGTAAATGATAATTACTGGAGGGATTTTACTGCATGAAATTATTGCAATGTGATACATTTCACAATTTTAATAACAGGAACTGCTGTTATGATTTTCTTGAAAGGAATCTAAGTTTCTTCAATATTGACTTTCATGAAACAGAGACGAATGTGACCAATGAGCAAAATACTTTAATCAAGAACATTATTATTTATTTATTTTTTAGGGGGGGGGATCGATTTTTGGCTCACTGATTTTCCTTTATTTCAGCAAAGCTGTTCATTAGACAATAAACTACATGTAGAATATGAAGTCATGGTGATTACTACTAAGGGACACTATGCATTTACCCATTTATTTCCGTTTGGGTCCAAACCTACATTTTTGGTACTTTTTTCGACAATTTGTAATTTGTGTACATCAATCAAATTGTAATAAAAGCAATGAAGACATACATGTACATGTATGTGCTAGCATGTATTGCACTCATGGCAATGACGCAGTAGGCCATAGTGCACCAAATGCTGTGGAGGCATGCGCAAGCTTCTATTTTAAAAACACTGACAAATATCTAATTGCATTAAGAAACAGGTAGGAATTCAAATGAGTGACAAAAAATATAAAGTACATTCATTGAACCTTTTGCATCAGTTAAATGTGTGATAATTGTGATTGTCTATAAAACCCACTAATCATGCTAATGTGGAGGGAGCCTCACTTTGACGTACACACACAAGACCAAGCAAATTTGTTAACAATGCATAAGTCTTGTCTATAAATATGTGTACATTAACTTAAGAGCACTGCACACATTATAGCCAATTTTTGTACATGACTGATTTAGAAAGAAATAAACTGCATGCAAAACAGTTGGTCTCTGCACAGCACAAGCCCCATCACTATACACACTGCATTAAACAGGCATTCCATAAATTGATCAACAAGACATACTGCCATTGTCAGGTACGTTGTATAAATGTGAATCTCCCTCACGTTGCTCTTTAGTGATGACGGTGGCATACTCACCCTCCCTAGCCTGAGGGGTTTGCATGACTGTTGTCTGCTGGGCAGGGAATCCCTGGGCTAGTTGCCCATAGGCATTGGGATAGGTAGCTGCAGATACACAGAAAGCAACAATGAATGTGCCATAGTTAATGAAACTATAAGTCTGGATCATTGCAAGACTGACAAGGCAAACAATAATCTGGCAACATTAATGTTTGAAATAGTTAAGGTGATACAAAACTAGAAACATAATATTGAGCACCTCTCAAGTGAAGAAACGAGGAGAGCTGTGAGAAAAAAGTTCTTCAAAAGGTTCTTAATTAATCAGCATACATGTATATCCAAAATAGTTGTTACCTACAAAATGTTTTCAGGACTCAAATTTCTTCCTAATAGCCACTGAATGCTGTGACTAATTGGTGTAAAGTATGTGCCTTTTTATAACCTTTTTCAGGGGTCAATTTCTTGTGCTTAAACCAATTTTGTGGGAACCAATTCAATGAGTATGATAGATACCCATCAGATGAACTGTTGTGTCATGGTTTCAGAATACGAACCTTCCAACCATTCAGTCTGAATAAAATTAACGCTGTCAAATAAATGGCAGCATGATTTTTCAAATAACATTTTATCTTCTTTTGTTGTTATCCACATTTTCATCATCAGGGGATAATTTATGACTCTATTGACACTTTTCTGCTCGTTAACGTAGTTTCATGTTGCTGTTGCTGTTATACTTTTTTGCTCGTTTGTTGTGTTGTTGGGGCTGTTTGTTTGGGTTTTTTTGGTTTTTAATTTTTATTTTTAAGGGCAGGCATCAGTCACATTGCATGTTATTTTTTATGATCAAAATTGTAAATGTAATCAACCGCAAGCCCACATTGGCACATTCAATTACACTGGTCATACAAAATGACAACATTTTACAATTGCCATAAAAATACAAACAAATGTCAAATACAGACTTTAAGAAGTAAGGTGAAAAGAGGAATACTTGAATGCATGACAACAGACGTGCAATAGCATGCTACATAATAAATGAAAAATAATTTTTCAGTAATTAATAAAATGAGGTAAAAAAAGAATAATACTTATACACGTTCGGAGCAACAAAATTGCTCAAAAACTTAAGAAGGGTGAACAATGTATAATTCATGTTGCTGTGCTGTTTCTTCCTAATGTGACAATTTCAAGGTACATGTACATCAAATAGCTCTGGTTTCTTCTTGAGAAAGTCAATACTTAGAGGTATGTAGGACCATTTGCTTTCTATGCATTTTTGTTGTCATTGGGAGATTAATTGCTCAAAATCGGAAGGAGGGTGTGTAACAACTTACTTGTTGATGTTTGGGCCGGGTGAATCTTATATATTTTAAGAAAACAGAGAAAGCATATGCACAAGTTGTTTGGTCTCGTAACTGGGTTCCTTTGCTGAGGCATGTAACAATAAGTGTGCCTGCAGGCACCCTATTTGGAAACCACCTTCAAAGTTAGTTTTCTTCCAGACAATACCATTTCAGGTGGGATAATTTCACAGGGTATTTGATACCAGTCCTATCTTCACTTTGAGCTAGGTTTCCATCATTAAATTGGTAGAAATTTTTCTGGGTAATTGCAAATGTTCCTACATGGTTTTAGAACAGCTATCCTCAAAATAAAATGATTTCATATTCTTCCATTTTTCACACTGCTCTTTATTTTTATGATTATTCCTTTTCATAACCCACTTTATTGATTTTTTTATATGAGATATTTCAGAAGAAGTTACATTTCTTTCAACATGAATGAAACAACTTATCATCTTGACATAAGCAAGGTACAAAATGACATTATTGTATCTTCTAAAGGTTTCTACAGACTTGTTTGTGAACATACGGGCTACAGTGCCAACAAAAAATTATTCTGCTCTGGGAAAAAAATGTATACGGTGACAATACGTCAAGAATGGGAAAAAATAGAGAAGAAAACCAATGCTGCATACATGTATTGCCAGTTTATGTTAAACTTGCCATCACATTTATGATTTTAGTGAAATATTTTCTCATACAAAAAGTTGAGGGAAAAAGCCTATTTGTTAAAATGCCTTGGGGAAGTTAGGTGATAGTTAAGCTACTAATATTGATCTTTGACCCTAAATTAAGAACAAATTGTCACCTTATGGCAACCTGTCAAATGTTAAACCTTAACCGTACCAACTTAATCAAAATCCATCCCCCCATTTTGGGGGATTTTGGCAGATAAGCCATGTGTACCAAGTCCATCAAAATCCACCAGCACTAGTGGTGGATTTCAACAGATTTGGTCCTGAAGCATTATGTGAAGCAGCGTTGTGATGGAGTTTGATGGACATGGTGTTCTACTTAGTAAAACTATGTAGGCACTTAGCTAGGGTTAAAGAGAAAAACTGAACACAACTGATTATAGAAAAGTATTCAACATTTTTTCTCAAAGATATTAACTTTGACCTCTTGAACCCCATCACATTGTTTCCTTTATAAAGGGCAGCCTTCTGATAGGTGTTTCTAAAAATATATCATTTGGAAACCAACTTAAAATCCTGAAACCAATAAATAAATTGTATTTCCTACAACTGGCCTTGACCATTATATTAATCCCCAAACATATGAAAATAATACTCTTTTTTAGTTGCTTAGAATTATATCTCTTCCCAAGTGCTTTTGTTTATGGTCTTTTGTGCAACCGATTGCCACTTATGGCCCACATTACAGGCCTTCAGCTGATTTTGGAAACAGTACGGAATGTATGCCACGCGTAGGATTTACTAAGCTTGTTGTGCAGCCTTGTCACAAATTTGTTGCTTAGTTTTGACATGTTGCACAACTTACACAATAAAATGTGGCTTAAGTGGAGTTATGCCATTGCGTACAGTTTGTGAAATCAACCGCAGATTAATCATCATCTGAAACATGACATGTATACAGACCACATTGGTATGTGTTGCAGACCTCATGGAGCAAAAGAGTTATGAGGCCTTCATAGTCTTCCCCAAGATACAAATGCTCATCAGAACACTCCTCTATCACCAGTGTGACCTTGATCCTCTCAACTTCTGACATAACCTAAACTTTTTTAAGGGCAACCTTGCCACAAAAATATGAGGTAACAAACAAAACCAACCCCAAAAAGCACATGTACAATGTATGCTTAATAAAATGAACTAAATCCTCATTTCATAAGGTCAGCCTTTTATGCTAGGGGTGGTTTCTACATAACTTTGCAGTTACGGTTATAGGTTCAAAATAAAAATGTATTTATGTATCATTACCAGCATATTGTTGCATCCCAGTGTATGCCTGCTGCAATGGATCAGTAGTAGCTGCAGCAGCAGCAGCAGCAGTAGCCTGAGCTGAAAACAAAGTTGATGCACACAAACAATTATGACAAAATGGGATAAATTAATGTTTCATAAATATTATAGGTCCTTTTTCCAAAGTGCTGAATGGAAGTTGGACTTAATATACAAAGGATATTATTTTGAATAGGTAAAGGACTCGCTGTACAAGTACGCATGTACATGTACCTGCTCAGTAGAGTAAGTTGGGAGTGACCACTGGGAGAGACTATATTATGCACTGCCTGTTGCCCCTGATGCTCACTTTCAGAATACAATTTAATTGTGCGCGCTTGAACAATGTGTGCATCCAGCGTGTCCCTCCCACTGGAGTTCCTGTGAGTGGTGACATAGCGTCATCGATCGCTCTATTGTAATGCTGTAAGTAACCTGTTACAATTGTTCATCAGCGTTATTTTTTTTACTTGGAAAAAAGGATAAACGAACTGGCAAACTGAATGCACACTTGCAAGAGGTTCCTCTGGACACAATATGACAAGTCTCTGATTTCTATGGAGTACGTCTTGTTGATCCCATGTCACAGAAAACAACAGGAACTTATTACTAATATGCACAGACTCCTACAGGTTCTCTGATGTACTGACAGCAAGGGACTCCATGATCAGGTGAATGCAGAAAATAGTGGAAAAGAACAACTAATACATGACCACACAGTTAATCACCTGTCCTCTGGAACACCAAAAAAAAAAGATCAGTTACAAATATAGAGCTACATGTATATATCAAATTAGGCCCCCCCCCCCCAAATTCTGCTTCCGATTACATGGCATTTGAAAATAGGGTAAGTAGGTAGGGAAAACATTTTTTTGGACAATTGTTTTGTGTACGATCATATGGAGGTGTCTGCGTGTAGTCAGGGGTAAAATATAGTAACTTTTATTTATTTCTTATTTTAACTGGGTAGCCCATTCAGTGGAATCCACTGATCTCCCTTGGGTCCCAGTAAAGAGAAGACAATGTGAAGAAATTACAGCTTTAGAGGTGGGAGGAAAAGCCCAGAAGAGTATTCTGAGGAAAACCCACGGAATCAGGTAGGGACTGAAAACCCAATCCACATATTGACCCAGGCGGGATTTGAACCCGGGTCACAGCGGTGGAAGGCGAGGAAAGTACCGCTACGCCAACCTGACTCCCCCAACCTGAACTGATGATTTTCGGGGTTTTTTCCTCATATTTCCAAAAAAAAATTAGGGTAGGGGCTGTTAAAATAGGGTAGGGGCTGTCAAAATAGGGTAGGTAGGGTAACCGGAAGCAGAACTATTATTTTTGTTTGCCTTCCTAGAGGCTGGCTTGATGTACAAAGTGACGCCTGCTGGGCGAATCGTTATTGTGCACAAACCTATGGAAAAGTCAAAATTGCGTAGGCCTACGGCTTTTGTATTTGCATATGTGACCCACTCTACAAAAAAGGGTATTAAGTCGTGCTATGCCTTATCGTGTAATGGCCTGCTCACCGTTGCGAGGGTCGAAATGTGATTTTAATTTTTTGTCATGAATGACATCTTTAATACCTAAAGCTTCAGGGTTCATTCACAGAACTGTTGATTTTGATGAATAAAGTGGGGGGAAAAACAAAATTTTATGTGCATAGTGATAGTGCCCCAATCTACAACAGAGCCAGCTATTTCAAAGCCTGTTTTCTGAGTTGTGTAATTCAAACTCCAAGGAAGCAATTAATATGCAAATACGTCATATCTCCAGAACAGGAGGGCTATGCATGGAGCTCTATTATATACCAAATGAAACATGGCTTTCCAACCATGTTTATTTATAATCTCAATTTCACTTTTTTTGCAACATAATACCCTTTTTGTGGAGTGGGTCACATATCTGTGTTTGCGTACTACACCAGTGTGTTATCAAAGCCGATACGCCCAAAACGGAAACACACAATCAGTAAATGAATGTTAAATTTTGCTCCACGCAAACGTTTTTAAACGTGACGTTTTTAAACCCACATGACGCGCTGAAGTTGTTTGCGTACTGTATGTTGAACTTGCACGTTGCATTTGGAGTACACTTTCAAAATTCACTCCATCTAATTTCATTATGTTCTGCGCAGGACAGCTTCAAATTATCTTCACGCGTGAGAATGAGGGGTCAGTGCTTTAGTAATTAAATATAGCTCTATGGTTACAAACTACTTTAGAACCGTGATAATCCAAAACCTTCTCACCAATACATTCAGTACAAATTATAGATATTCATCACTTTAATATCCACTTCCTTGTCAAGATCATAAAAGGAGAATTTCATCCAGCTCAATCCACGCCATATCAACCAAGAAAGACAAATCAATATGAGACAATCCTGACAATAATGCTACAATCAACAGTGCAGCCCTGAAGGAGACATTCAAGTTACTACAATCCTTCTAAACATAATTATCTGTGGACGTTGATATCATGCATGCCTGCTAGAAATTAGGAAATGACAGCTTGCAAAAAACCCTGTGTAAATGGTCCATGTAGGTCCATAGGAATTTGCTGTTTTTCAAGTAGAAAAGCACTTTGACAGTGGCATTCACAGGTCATGTTCTGCTTTAATTGTTTATGACTGTCCATTGTTTTTGTTTTTGTTTGTTGGGGGGGGTGTCCACCCCCCCCCCAAAAAAAACCAAACTCTAGTGAATATGCTAACAAAACTTTTGAATGGTAACAGAATGAGGCACTTTAGGTTTTTGGACCTCATTAATCATAAGACTAAAGACGAATCAAGAGACTCCAGTAGAAATGGAAGTTATTTGGGTGTACATGTAGAGCAGATCCCCAATTCTCTCGTCTGATACCAATTAGGCTTGTTTTGTGTCGTGTGTCATTCACCTACAAGCCCAAATGCCTAGCTGTTTATTGGGCATTATCACGGACAATAGACTTATAACAAAATGCTATCCAGTGCTGCGTTTACACTCAATCCCATCCTGATTCGGATCCACCATTTACAACTGAAGGAAGGTTATTGACCCCCTTGCCGGATCAGATCACTGTTTGACCCCCCTTGCTGGATCAGATCCTAGCTCCTTTGATCCCCCTGCGGGATTCGGTGTACATGCAGCAATAAACAACCTAGATGCCAAATAACAATGGAACTTATTCAGTTTCTTAACAAACTAGCAAGATCTGATACTAGTATGGGGCCAAAATATTATTAATGGTCATTCTACTCATAACTGCATCACTTGAACTGTGTTTTGTCGACCCCTAATAAACCTAAAAACACAACATGTGCAGTCTAGCCACTATGAGATTGATCTTCGATGGAACATGGATGTGTCCTTCCTTGGATGTCTTTGCAAAGACCCTTAAACATATTTATTTCATTAATGACTCATGTTTTCTTATTATTTCTAGCTATTCAAGTTGTTCAGCTGGCGCTGTGAAACCATTTATGAGTAAGATAACACTGTACACTGACTTCATTGTATTATTGTATTACAAGGCGGAAATTCAACACACATGGACTAAGGTGTTGGAAGCTGGAGATGTAACAATCAAATGGAAAAAACTTGAACTACTCATTCCAGTCTGCTACCACTTCTCCTACACATTCGCACTTCAACAGCTGACAAGTCTTACATGACACCAGGAGTCAATGCCTCTATCAGAAAGCTTTATGTAAATAGAAGTACGGGCATTCGCTGTGGAGGCAACAAGATAGGGCAAACAGTATTACCAAATGAGGGCACAGGGTCTGAATAATGTAGATTCAACCCAGTCACATTCTAGGGTCCATTTTATAGGGTGTGCGTGTGTGTGCATGATATTTTCGAATGAGTGGGATTAATTTTTTTTTTTACCGAATCAATCCAATCAGAACAGTGCAAACATAAATCAAAGCTGACACGACCTACTTACCCAAACCTTCAGTAATGGGTTGGGTCTGGTCAATTTTTGACCAGGTTTGCACAACTTTAGGGCCACAGTCCTAGGGCTGGAGTGCAGTGGCGTAGCAAAGATTTTTAGTGGTGGGGGGACCTGGTATGCATAAAATATCTATACTCATACAATGTATGTTAAACGGTACAACTTATTATGAATGGATGCTATGATACATGTGACGGTACATGTAACTTTGTCCAATTTCATATAGGCATACAGTGTAAATGGCACAAACGGCTCCATTATCAGGTTGCCATGGATGTAACTTTTTGTAGATTTTAAAATTCTGGAAATTTCATAAATCTTTGTGAAAATTGCACACATGTGTGTAATTTTCAAGGTCTACAATTGCTTAAAGCAATCTACATTTGGTTTAATACACGTTTATCACATAATTTCAACTTTACAGCTAGATTGACTTAAGATTAATATATCAAAGTTATGTTTCATATAACAGAAATTTAGCCTTTAGTCTTATGACTTAGTAATAGTGCTGAAGCTAATATCTACGCCTTATTACCATAGCCATTTAATTAACTACAGAATTGCAATTTCAAGAATACTAGGTCAATTCCATGCAAAAGTGGACATAACTGAAAAGTGGAAAATTTATGACATCTTCAGAACTATGAGCATCACAACCTCAAATGTGATATCAAATTGAAGGAGACAACAAATAACTTTCACATTGATACCAGTGAGATGGAATATTGTTAAGTGTATATTTTTGTCAAAAAACTGGGGTACTTTAGTGGCTAAATTATAGAATTTAGGTAGTCATTTTGGCACCTTGTTTTTGCATGCAAAAGGCACGTATTATTGTGAGTTTATGTTTTTAAGGCAGAGAGAAAGGTCAGTTTTTTTGTTTGGTTATTAGCTTCTATGTCTTAACTTGTACCAAATATGGGTAGCCAAGAAAAAAATGTGAGTAACCGTAATTGGAGTAACCAGCCTTTTTCTTTCTAGCATCTATTTACCTAGTCTATGGAATATCCCCTTGCACAGCAAGGGTCTATAATATGCGGGAAGATTTGGCCAATAATTATGCAAATAAGACCGCGTCTTGACCTTGAAATTCTGACCATTCAGCGGGCACCTTCTCAGTCTATATGGGGTCTTCGGTAGCCGTTATCATGACATCTAATAAAACCTAGACATACATCTTTTATGCTTTTAAGTTGTGAATTGTAACATACGCTGCGTCCTGCTACGTGATGCGCAATCCGTCCTGTGGATTCGAATGATCATCACATAATATTTTGTGCGTTCACGTCCCTCCAACAATGAGTGTTTGCATAATACGCACAGCATTTTGCTAATACATGTGTAACAGTTTTGAGAGCCAATGTCGTGTCTAGGTTTTATTAGATGTCTTTGCCCATTGTTGTATTACAAAAGCATGTCATCCAAAAGGACCAATCAACAAATTAGTCCAGATTTCGGAATGAAATGACATTATGTGGACTCCGATTGGCTGGTGCGTGGGGTCGCATAAATTTACATGCTTAGATATATCAGACATTTGGACCAGACAAGAGAGGGCTACTTTTTACCTCAATTTGGTCTACATTTTTTTTACTGTCCACATTTATACTTTTGTATATCATAAAATACTCATAAATTTGCTATTGCAGTTTCACTTTCAGGAAACAACTGAATTGAAAGAAGACAATTTTTGGCATACGGGTCCTCTTTGTGTAATGCAAGTAATGTGAACCACATTTCCAAAGAGTGACATGCTCAATTGAGAGAACATACAACTTGTTTGTTGGGTAAGTTAATAGAAGAATGAAGACCACAGCA